GGGAGGCCTACTTAATTCAGTGAGCCAGTATTTTTTTAGTAATGACCACATGATGTTCCAAAATCATACCTGGCTAAAGAGCTATCCAAAGTATAAGACAGACCAGTGGATTTTGACATAACTGATCGGTTTTCAGATTCCACATGGCAGCTAACATTAAGAGACAACCGCTTGCTGAGTTTGGGTGTAGTATCACAGAAGAATGTCCACATTTTTCTGAAAAAGCGATTGAAATACTCCTCCTTTCCCAAGCATATCTCTGTGGAAGGCGTCTTCTCTTCACGTACTGACTAAAACAACACCTTGCAACTGATTCAGTGCAGAAATAGGTATGAAAATCTAGTTGTTTTCAGTTAAACCAGACATTAAAAGAATTTGAAAAATGTAAAACATTGACACTCTTGTCACGAATTATTTTGTTTTGGAAAATAATTCATCTTCATAAAATGTCATTGATGTTAGCATGTGATGGAATTATTATCATTATTTTAAAATGAGTTACTAAATATTTAAAAACTTCTCAGAGTTGATTTCTGATGTGGCAAATGTCAGTGCACATAAGCAGTGGTGACTTGGGAGAGCTGGTAGTGCACACCCTTTGCAGTTTGGTGTCCGGTGACATCGCTGGGAGCTGAGAAATCTGCTGTAGTGGCAGTGTTCACGTTACACAGGCCGCAAACGTTACACACAGTGTTCTGTCTTCCCAGGAGCTGGCTGCAGACATTTACAGGCGTTTATCCTGCTGGATGTACATTACATGAACAGAGGTTCTTTGAGGTCATCAGTAGTTTTTCAGAGTGTAAAGTGTCCTGAGGCTAAAAAGTCTGAGCTTTAGTTGTGTGGCAGAGGAATACCTTTTGGCAGTTGGTTCACAAGGAGGTGGATGCCTGTTTGTAATTCACACGGAATTGCCTTTTGTGCTGGAAACATTTGTACAACAAATCCAATGGTTTTTAATATTTGTTTTTTTTTGAATGGAGATACTGGGGATAGAACCAGGACCTCGTGCATGCTAAGCATGTGCTCTACCACTGAGCTGTATCCTCCCCCAAATCCAGTGGTTTTTAAACTTCCGGGTGTTAAATCTGCTGGCTCCATCATGGAAGGACCCTTTTCTTTTCCCTAAAATCTAAATAGGCAGTGGTACTCTAGGGTAGGCGGGCTGAACCTGCTTCTTGAGCTATATGTTGGATGCCCCTGGCCTGGCTTCCCACGTTTCTTTCCCCTGGTGTCCAGGCTGCAGCAAGGCCCCCACCCGTGGTTCAGGCTACACTGCCCTTTCTGGCCTGTGGTTTTCATGACCTGGCCAGCAGAGCAGTTCGTTCCACAGTGTGTGTGTGTGCTATTGTTTCTCAGGTGTTGGTCTTAGCAATTCTGTTTCTACCCTAGTGCACCTAATTCAATGCTCTCCGCATAGGTTCCCTCTCACGGATGAAAGAGTTTGTTCTTTTGGATTGCCAAAGACGTGTGCCTTCCAAGGGAATGATGTCGTAAATAAACCTAATTCATGTAAACCCAGTTTTGAGTACTTTTTAAAAAGTATTAATGTAAACAGTTTGGAAATGACTGGTTTTCCTTAAAGTGAGGCTTTCCCGCAGAGGCTTTCTTGAAAATGTTTTAGCTTCTGTGCTTTCCTACCACTCACGATAGAAAACAGTAGCCTCCTTCATTTCCAAAGTCTTTGACTGTTTTGAGCAAGTCATAATGAAGAGTGAAACTCAGTAGAACGAGGCAGAGTTTCTAAGATTACTCTGGCCCATAGGAGTGAGTTATTTACAAACTAGAAACTTGGCAGGTTTTGAAGTCCAGAGGAGTGAAGGTTTATTGTGTTCTGCGCAGGGATCTTTGTCAAAGGCACCCAGGGTAGCCGGGAAGTGGTGGCCCTCTCCTCCCGTGTGAGCTCGGGAAGCTTCTGGGCCTCTCTGGATGCTGGGGCGTGGGGAGGGGGCTTTCTCTGGTTCAGAGACGCTGGGGGCATGAGAGGTCCTGGGGTTTTTTTGGCCGGGGCCTTTTTTGCGACTACAGGGGCACAAGAGTAATGGCAGTTTTCATCAGTATAGAGATGAGGCATCAGCTGGTATCTGGAAGTCTAGCCACTGTAATATATGTAACAAGTTTCATTTATTAAGAAACAATGTACCATGTTTAAGTTCTGCCTCTAATTTCTCTCTAGAAGTAGAGGGTGGCTTATACTCTGGCCTAAAGAAGGCTTCACTTCTTGGTAGCCGTGCAGTCCTAGTGAGGTAGTTTAACTGCTTTAGAACCTCATGCTTGGAACATTCTTAGCCACCGAAGCATGGGACCCGAAAGTGAGGAGCATGGGTTCTTTAGTATGTGTCACATCAGGGGATGACCATTCCAGGACAGTAACCATCTCCTAATGGTAAGGACCCTGGCTTGCCTGCCATTTCTTAGAAGCAGGGAAACCAGGCCAGTCCTAACAGTGAATGGTGTCTCTTTAAGAAAAACGGAAAGGGCGAAGAGAAGGTCCAGCCTTAATCCTCCACGATGATCACTTTGCAGGTTTCTGTAGCTGGACCAGGCACCGGAAGAGGCTCCCCCAGTGTGACTCTGGTACAGTTACCTTCGGGCCAGACTGTCCATGTCCAGGAAGTAATTCAGACACCACAGCCATCGAGCACCCTGTCACCACAGATACAGGCGGTGCAGGTCAGCTTCCTTCCCGGGTGATCAGCCTTTGACCTCCTTGAGCTTTTTTTTTTCTTTTACTAATCCATTTATCATCATTTTCTTTGTGTAGCTTTTATGCTCAAATACCACTGTGAAGCGCTTGGAGGGGTTTCCTCCTTGTGTGCGAGGTGCACTGGGCTGGGCGGGCTGCACGGATCTGACTTGGGTTGCGGTCTCCTTTTCGGCTCCGAGTCACTCTGCTTTACGCTGTTGCTCTGGGCTCAAACTCAGTGTGTCAGCTGAGCTCTCCAGAGGTGCTGGGAAGTACTTGGAGGATTCTCCGGCAATGTCTGATGCGCATGGTGACATGAGGTCTGCAGCACTGATGCCCCCTGCCCCCGACACTCACGGTAGTGGGTGGACGTTTAGGTTCACTGTTAATTCGGTGTGTGTGGTGTGATCCTGTTGTTTCCCTGCTGTTATGTTCGTATGTCAGATTAAACCTTGGTTTTTTTAAGACACGGTTAGTGTTGTGGTTGTGAACCAGAGATGTAGTTTTTTATTTATTAATATCAAAGTTGGTCATAAATGCTTAACATTTCTTGAAGCCAAAACATTTTTGGCATCAATAGATGTGAATTATTAAGTGTGCATTTTTTTAAAGCATACTTTTCTCTTTTGCTGAATTTATTTCTGTTCCTTTTTAAGATCTGTTACTATCATTTAAATGTTTAAATTATTTGAACCTAATTGCTGACAAAAAGATGCTGAGGAAAATGTAGCTGCTTACAGTCTTGTCCTTTTCGTGCAAGTTGAACCTGGTTCTTTGCGGGATGGGCTGAGGCCTGCAACGCGGCACTGGAAGCAGTCCCCATGTGCCTTAAGGCTTGGTTAGCTCTCGGTGTGGTGGTCTTTCTCGTCGTTCGGAAGCGTAGGAACGAGCCTCAGTGTTGTCTTTTTTTTTGGGGATGACCTTTGTTTGATTCTGGGAGTTTCTGACTCTGACCCTAATTATGAAGCAAGAAGGCCTTTGCACTCTCCTTGTGTTACGACTTTCACTGAGTGCAGATGTCTCCACCTGGTTTTCACCTGGCGGGTTCCCATCCTCAGTAGGCTCTTCTGGATTTTGCTAAATGGATGATTTAATTGTGTTAGAGATAGGTGCCTGTGGATCTTGTTTCAGAATTCCTACCTGTTGAATGATAAACTTCAGTTTTTACTTTCTAAAGTCCAGCCGCACGAGGAGGCTGCTGTGATTATATGAGAGATGTGTGAAGGCCCAGCATGAAGTGGTGACTAGCAGGTGGTGAGGTGTGGTTGTCTGATTGCAACGACATTTTCTCTAACAGCTTCTACTCATGGGTGAGAGTGCTTGTGTGTGGGGTGTCCACCACCAGAGGCGCACTGTCAAGCATGCAGGTGAACACCTGTGCACAGCCGTGTGCCTTGGGAAGTACATCCTCCTGCTTGCACTTTTTGGTACTTTAGTAAGCTCTTTTGATTGTGCCCAAATCAAATGCCCACGTAAGTGTGATAAGTAAACTGAGTTTTATGCTAGGCCCTGAGTAATAAGTGGCTGAATGTACTGAGAGCAGTCGTGTTGTAAAGAGGCCATTAGTTCAGTTTTCTGACTTTCTTTAATAACCATGTTATTATATTATATTATTACTTGAAAAGTGAACTCATGCTTAAAACTGGGATCTTTCTTTTAAGGAGTAATTCCTTATTTTGACTTTCAAGACCAAGCCCCAGCCCACTTCTTAAAGGTAAAGCCTGACTTTAACCAGGCTTGTTGTGTGTTCATCTGCTTAAACAAGTTGCTTCTTCCACAGACGTATCCAGGGTATAGCCTGGAGACCCACCTCAGGTCAGCAGTGGTGCTATGAAACCGAGACTCTCCTGCTGTCGTGGCCAGCGGCCCCGGCTGGATTCATGAGAGTGTTCCCAGGGCTGGATCTTAGGTCTTAAGTCCCTACATCTAGTGCTTTCCTGTGAAGGCTCGCCTGACATTTGTGTTTCTGCGGCACCTGTACGCGGCCGTCCCAGGCCCGCCGGCTGGCCCTGCAGCCTGGGTGCTGGGGTCCGTGTGCGCCCGACTCGGTGCGCCGGCCTGGTGCCGCACTGAGACCCTGGGCCCTGGGCCGTGAGTGAGACAGCGCGGATTTCGCATTGCATTCCAGGAACTCTTGTGTTGTAGGTAGTAGCCGTCGCAGAGGCTGATGACTCTGCAGAATCGGAAGGTGTAACTGACTCTCAGAAACGGAGAGAAATCCTTTCACGAAGACCCTCTTATAGGTAAGTTAAGTCATGATACTGTCATGATACTTTTTCCAAAAAGGGAGAATAATTGTGCATCAAATGGGTTCTCCCGTTGTAGCTTTTTCTGCTTTAAATCTCATTCATGCATCTTAATCATTTATACTGTCAAATTATATTTTAGAAAAATACTGAATGAACTTTCCTCTGATGTGCCTGGTGTTCCCAAGATTGAAGAAGAAAAGTCAGAGGAGGAAGGCGTGCCCCCTCACGTGGCTGCGATGGCAGTGCCGACTAGCATTTACCAGACCAGCACGGGGCAATACAGTATGTATGCCGCGCCGGAGGGGCCTAGCACTCGCCTGAGCCTGTTGCGCTACTGGAGCGCCTGGTTTTGGACTAAAGCGCCCTTGTCACGGTGCATCATAATACTAAGCTGTGTGGGAAAAGCGTGTCAGAGAAGTGAGAGATTGGGCCTAACAGCTGTTGTAGACTTTTGAAAAGTAAAAGAATGTTTTACCAAATAGAAGAAAACCTTGAGGTAAATGCAAAGGGAGGGTCTCTCCTGTCTGTATGTTTATGTTCGTGCCTCATACAGGTTTAAAGCTCACTGCCTTTATGATGCATGTGACCCTGATGAGATATAAAGTATGTTTCATTCTTGTTGGCCTTTGTTACCAACAATTACATTTTATACTGACGAATCTAGAAGAGGTACATATGTTTTCTAAATTATGTTTCGAATGTAATTCTCTACTGTGTTAATTTGTGCTACAGCTTTTTCTAGAAGAGGATGGAAAAATGATTTATCTTTTTTAAACTAAAGTGATTGGACAGATCATTTTATTTGAAATTTTAAGCACCAAAAGCTGGAAATAAACAGATACATTCACATTTAGTCTTGCGCATTTTAATTGGCTGTTAATTCTGTGCTTTTTGCTCCAGTTAAAGCACTAGTCTTTTCCCAATTCAAGAATTTTTATGTTTGGTACATAAAAATACTTCACTAAAATATGAGAGCTGGGAAGAAAAGTGGGGAGGAAAAGATGGAAAAAGGACTGAAAAAAATGTTTTTTAGAAAAAGCTAGTTAGGTACAGGAATATGTATGATGTTAATTACTGTGTTGATCCAAGTACAGTGTTAAGATTTTAGATGTATTTTCTGTTTTCCCTCAGAAAATAATACTACCTACAAAAAGTGTCAAGTCTTAACTTATGACTTGGCTGCTAAAGCAAGCTGTAGTCTGTGGGAAAACCTTATAGAGTCATTAGTTTTTAGGGCTTTTCTTTTAGTGGTGGTAGATTTGCAGTATTAAATGAATTCTGCCTTGGTGATTTCGGCTCTTTGGCTAGCTCCCACCCTGATACCTGGCAGAACTGGGCTGTAATTTGTCCATATCCTCTACAGGGTGCTGCTTGGACGTGTCCAGAGTCAACGTTAGGAAAAGAAACCTCCCCACGGTCTGTAAGAGTTAAACCCTGAGGATTTTTTCAATTTCATTTCTCTTGTATTGCTTCTCTGATTTATTTGGCTCCCTTGTCTGGCCCGCTGGGACCATGCGGCGGGAGTTTTAGGACCGTTAAGTCAGAGCCTGCTCCCTGGTGTGCATCAGTCCCCATGCAGGTCCCCAGGCCCTGGAGCGGCTGGCTGGGGCTTGGGGCTACTCGAACTCCTGGCTGGTCAGCTCTGACCTTGAGCAGCAGGCCGTGCACATAGTATCATTTTCTGTTTTGTGTCACAACGGGGAAGGTTGGCAGTCACTGCTGGAACAATCTAAGATGTCTTCAGTAGGAGGGAGAGCTCAGACGCTGTCCCCTCGGCATTTCTCCAGCAGGTCCTGATGCTGCTTCGCACTGATCTCTTTACAAGTGACCTGGGCGGGGTGGCTGAGGGTTAACATACCTGGTTAGTACCCACAGACGTGATGTGAAGTTGTACTGGGGGTGGAGAGAGTGCTGGAGCTGGGGACTGGTTGGGGCAGGCGGCACCGGCCCTGTGCTCCACTGCCGGGGTCAGAGCGAGAGTTTCGAATTTCAGGTTTCTGGTCTGTGAAGTGGGAATAACACTAATTGCCAGACTCTGGGGTTAGCGTGAGACAAACGGAGAAGACAGGTTTTACCAGAGCAGTTGGCTGGCTGAGGCAGCGCCTTGGTCATAGTCACGGTGGCTCCCATCTCCCCTCCGCTGCACCACAGCCTGGTCCCCTGCTCCGGCGCACACTTGCAGAGGGGCAGCACCTTGGGGTGGGGCATGTGAGTGTCAGGAGTGGAGTCAGCCCTTCTGGTTAAGAACTAGACAATCGAATGTTTAGCAGGTAGGCATTTATCTCTTTGCCACATGAGAAGTCATGGACGATTTCTTACTTGGGGTTCTCAGTTCGCACCCACACGCTGAGATGTAGGCAGGAGTTTCAGTGAGCAGGGTGGTTGTCCTTCGTGTGCTCTCTGTAGGTAAGACTGCCATTTCATTGGTTCACAAAAAAGTGATATTGCCTTTGTTAAACATGCATTTCATAGACATTTAGTGACACTTACGTTGGTAATTCTGTCATCTGAAAAGTGAATGCTAACATTCAAACTTTTCTTTAGAAGTCATTTGCTTTAACTGGAGGGTAAATGTGTATTTATACCTACATCAGATCCATGTTCATCAATCATTTCTTACCAGCAATAACAACTGAAATTAATGTGTTAATGTTCCTGAGTATCTAGACATAGAAACAATTACTGATGTCCTTTGGTTTTTGGAATGGAGGAGTTTATTTTACTAGGATTTCTGGTGATTTTTCTGTGTATTTGCATGTACCCATTTTTGAGACCATTTGTAACTTTTTATTGTAAAAAATTTTTAATTCTTCCTTCAACTTTTATCCATGGATGACGTTCTCCTAAACATCGCTTTGTTTCTTTTTTTCCTATAAAGTATTGTTGTTATTTATTTGTAATTTGGTATATGATTTACTTGGAGTTAAAAACAAAAGAACTAAACTAAAAGGCCTTTGTGAGTCAAAGTTGAAGAAATAAAATAAAAATAAATGTACTCGGGTTTTCTTATATACAAGTAGGCATGTTAATACTTGAAAATGAGGTATTTGACGGAAGTTGGGCTTATTATTTCAGCGTATTTTTTCAATCACAAAAATAAGAAGTGAAAGTTAGAATAGGCTATTTCCGGGAGTAGGGAAAATAACTTAAAATAGGCAGGGATTCATTACTGCGACACCAAGAAAGTGAGCTGCACTTGTGAAATCTTTACTGGGGTGCAGATCTCGGTGACAGGTCTGCTGTGTGCCCAGCAAGTCGCTCTGGTCAAAGAAAATCTGTTCTGTCTCAAGAGACTCTTTCTGAAAGATGGTGGTCTGGATAGTCTTAGAACCCGCAAAGAATGGTACTTGCTGCCTGAGACATTTAAGACGGGCACGAAATGGGAGTGAACCCAGAGTCGAAGTTGTGGTTCTTCTGTATGTGCTGTCGTAGGTGAAGAAATGTAAATGTTGGAAGTTTCTTAATTCACTAAATTTTCCCTAAAGACAGTTGTTTTGAACCCTTCATCTGCTTTACCCAGCCTCTTCCCTTACTCATAAGGATTCACCCAAGACTTCAACTTTTTTTTTTCTAAACATCCCTGTCTCTCTGCTTGCTCCTCCTTTATTTTACTAGGAATATTGTTAGAATGAGTCTCTATTAACCCATCTTTACTGACATTCTTAAACCCGAAGGAAAGTGGGTCAACCCGAAAACCCACCGTAATGAAGAAAGATACATGAGCTTTGTGGACTGCTTGAAGAATTCAGAATTCTCAGGAGACACGAATGAGTGCACTCTGATTCCACTTCTTCTAACAGGAGTCTGCGTGCTAGGCTTGCGCATTCTAAAGTGAATACGGTGCATTTATCATTCTTGGGACTGACTTTGCTTGCATGCTCCCAAGGTTCCTTTCAAAGCCCTCCTGGAAGGTGTGTACTCAGTGCCAGCCTGGCTCCTTAACCCCAGCGCTGCTGCTCCCGGTACAGCCGGGGCTCTCAGGCTTTCTTCTGCTGCATCCACGTCTTGGCTTTTAAGGCCCAGGTACTCACAGGTTCTGGTTTGTGCTCACTTTTTGAATTTCAATCTGAGAATTCACTGGAATAAGGTCTGCTATTCCTTTTTAAAGTTCATTCAATGAAATTTTATTTATGAAACTTTTTATTGCAATTTGGAATACAGATGGTTTTAAATGATAAGTAAACATTTACAAGTTTATGTATTTGAATTAGCTCATGTATAGAGGTTTAGGATTAAAAAGATGTTAGCATCAAGTGAGAAAGAGGTCAAGTGAAGTCTTAATTTAAATGAATCACACTTCCTCATTTGGTCATGAACTCTTTTTTTTGGTTTTGCATCCTTATTTTTCTCTTCTGCCCTCTTTACTGATTATACCAGACTGAAAATATTATTTTTTAATTAAAACTTTACCAAAATTTTTGAATTTCCATCCCATAAATAGTATTTTCCTTGCCTCAGTGATATTTAAAGGCTCTGGGAAGGAAGTGCTCAGTGGCAGTGAGGGGTGGAAGTGGCGGGTTTTTTAAACAGTTCCGTACACCAGGAATTTTCTAAGAACTCACTGCCTAGACTAGTTGGTGTGATATCGTCTTGGTTACATGGTGGACAGTAAGTTTGGGGTGGTGAGAACATACTCGGGTTAACACTGATTTGAAATGAAATATCATGACTGCATAGTAATGTATATAAAGACATTTATTTAACTACTAAAGCTAAGTAGAAAAACACTTAGTAAATTAACGAATTATACTCTCTAGACAAACTCTCTTTCAAGGTCATTGTGTTCAACATTCAGCCTGTGGTTACAGCCCAACCTACTTAATTATGGAGTGTAGCTCAGCTGAGACATCGGGGTGGAGGTTGGGGGAGCTAGGGATGTCCCAGAGCAGCCAGGACAACAGGCCTTACCCTCCACCCGGTACTGCTACGCGCAGGTGACACATGAGCAGGCTTCAGCCAGTCAGCAACAGCGTTGAAGTAGAACTGAATTGATTATATAACCGAGCTGCTCAGTTTTAATGCAGTTTAGATGATTTCATCAAACTGTAATGCTACTGAGGAAAACAAGTATACGTAGAGTATAAAATAATAAACCACTCTTACTGCTGCTTAAGTCCTAATCAGTGTTCACAGGCCAGTGTGGACTCTTCGTCAGGAACAGCGAAGTGGCTGAAGGTGTGAGCTTTGATGTCGCAGTTGCATGTGTCTGTCCAGGAGAGCATTAATAAAACCTCAGGCCCTGAAGTAAAATCAGAAGGAAGATGGAGGTTTTTTTTTTTGTTTTTTTTTTTTGTATTGGTCACTAATGGCCTTGATAGGGGCCAATCATTTTATTTAAAAATGATCAGCCAGACATGATATCTGAGATTTGTTTTGAAATACTCCAGACATAAGAGGGAGGGCATAGCTCAGTGACAGAGTGTGTGCCTAGCACGCATGAGATCCTGGGTTCAATCCTCAGCACCTCCATTAAAGATAAATAAATAAAAACCTAATTATCTCCAATAAAAAATTAATTAAAAAAAAGAAATACTCCAGACACACACACACACACAAATGATTTGGAATGAGTGGGCAGGGAAAGTAAATAACAAAATTCTTTCACCTTTTCTTTTCACTAGAAGATTTTTATAAGTTAAAAAATAGTAATTAGCTAAAACAGGATATGACTAAATTCATTCTGTTAATTTCATTTTAGTTTTTCCTACTATTTATCTTGATGTGTGTTTACTGAAGACATATTAATGCTATCTTTGAATATTTTGTAACCTAAAAAGTTTCCTCCTCAAATCTTTTGAATGCACACACATGCCCACAAAGTGTATTTCTGGTATCCTGAAACATTGGGAAATCTTGTTTCTTGTCAGTTGAGAGGCTTTGTATGGGAAGGCCCTCTGTTGTTGGATAACGCCAAAATCAAGAGCACCTCTGGTGTGAAAAATAAAAGCCAGATTAAAGGACAAGACTCATCAGGAGAAGTATTTCCCTCCTAGAGCCAGCTTGTGTATGCGTGTGCGTGTGGCTTTTGTTTTCACATCTAATTATATAATGACCAGAAAATAAAATGATCAGAGGAACAGATTTTTGATAAAACAGATTACACAGTGTGAAAGCAAAGAAGTTTGGTTGGAACTATGGGGAAACACTGGGGGAAAAAAGACTGAAAAAGTATAAAAAGAAAAAAGAAAGGATCCTTGTCATCTACCTGTTTCATGGTTCTTATCCTTGGAAGCAACTGCTCTCACCTTAGATTTTTCACTAGTTCAGAAGCTTGATAATTGTGTTGTCAATATGGAAAATTCAGTTCTATAATTATAACTGGAAACCATACTTTTGGAACTCTTCTAGGCTCACAAGTGGCCTAAGTTGTTGTTATAGACTCTATCTTGAGGCGATGATGGCCCTTCATGCATCTTGTTTATTGAGTGCCTGCTGTTTGCTGGGCTTTGTGGTCACACTGCTTGGGTGTGTTCTTTCTAAAGTGCCATTTCTATGACGTCAGACTCAACTGAAAATATGCATTCACACAAATGATCACGTGTGAACCTCATTCATGTCCAGAGAGGAAGAGTGATTTAAAGCCCTCCTTTTTCAGACTGCTCTCAAATCCTCTTACTATTAAGGAGTAAGTCCTGAGACCCTTGGAATCTCTGGAGACTCCTGGTGAAAGCTTGTTTGTAAAATGTGCACAGAGTGTGAGACTCCAGGTGAGCCAGATAAATAAAGTGAGATCACTCCGAGTTTCTCAACCATAGCACTGTTGACATTTGGTAACTGATTCTTCAGTTTCTGTCAATCGTATAGCAGCCTGTCAACGAACAAAACCAGACGGTGCCTCTGTGTCGAAAGTCTTTAAAAAAAAATGTTAACCCATCTTTCTGTGTGAGCCTGAGAACCGCAGGTCAAGGAACTGAAGGTGTGTGGTGGTGGTTACTCTCTCCAGGATTCTCAGGTCAGGCGGTCACCTACGTGGTCCTTTGCTTAGATACCGTTACAGAGTTAGGGACTGACTCAAACGTTCAGGTGTGCTCTGGACACTGCTACAACACTCCTGTAAGGCACTGACATTGATTTATAGGTGCTGTGTTATTCTGATTATGTATTATTTTTATCTTCATTGTAAAGTCTAGTTAGCCAATTTATATGTAATTTTCCTTCTTTTGTTAATGGAGGTGCTGGGAACTAAACCCAGGACCTCAGGATGCTAAGCACACATTCCACCACTGAGCTATGCCCTCCCCGCTGTGATTTTCTTCTTTTTAACAAGAATAGCCCTTGGTTCCACTTAATCTCTAGTGTTTAAACTCAAACATGGCGTCGTAATCTTTATGTTAAAGTATGTACAATTCAGGTATTTTCAACAGTACTTACTTGTCTATTAGAGTGAAGTTTAAAAACATAACATTTAATCAATTATTCTTTTGAAACTTTCTGTTAATGTGTTAACTTTTAAATGTGGCTGGCAAGTCCCACTGTTTAAAAGGACGTCTGCCTCCTGTTTGTTGCCATTAGCTGTTCTTGTTCAAGACGCTTAGTAGAGGTAAATATTGTAGCACAAATTCTTTCAATAGTTACCTTTTAAGGTTCTTTCCAACTTAATGTTTTGTATTTCAGGATTCTCCTGACATAGTCAAAGTGGTAACAGTTACAGTTTTATAGACTTGAGCTTTAAAGCCAACATGTATAATATATATTCCATTAGGAGATACTTTCTTTTGATGATAAATTAGACAAATGTTTGCTGAATGAAGGTACAAATTCATTGTAATTATAATGCTCAATGGAATTTAATGGGCCATTTCTTAAATGTTAGAAGAATGTTGTATTTCTGTAACTAAAAATAGAGGAAAGAGTGGAGAAGATTAAGAGGCTCTCCCTGTCCACACCTCCACGCATTCTCTTAAACATCTAGGTGGAGGGATGCCAGGGAGGAGGCAAACGCCATGAGTTCTGTTTCAAACAGTTCTGAGTGTAAGAGATTTTCAAGTGTCCTGAGCTCTTTCAGAGTATTATCCATGCGGGCGGGTTCCCTCATCAGCTCAGCACAGGGACCTGAGGGTAACCTGAGAATGAGAAACTTTGGTAATAAACAGACCCAGAGTATATGCTTCCAATATGGGGTTATTAAAAAACGAATCTTGAAATTCTCTAATATTTCTTTTCTTTTTCTGTTAAGTTGCTATAGCCCAAGGTGGAGCAATCCAGATTTCTACCCCAGGATCTGACGGTGTTCAGGGCCTGCAGGCATTAACAATGACAAACTCAGGAGCTCCTCCGCCAGGTGCTACAATCGTACAGTACGCAGCGCAGTCAGCTGATGGCACACAGCAGTTCTTTGTCCCAGGCAGCCAGGTGGTGGTTCAAGGTATATGTCATTCGTCTAATACGTTTAGCGTACCTGGGGGTTACGGTAGAACGCCATTCCCTGGAGGTTTCATAGTTTTCTGAAATACACAGGTAGATTTGGGGGGTAAGGGGACACTTAAAGGGGCTTGAAGAAGAAATATCTTAGTATATTAAACAACAAATTAAGTAAATTATATAATTTCCAGCTTTTAGCAGGTTTTATTGGCTCTATAGAAAAGTTAAATTCAGGATAGCGTAATGGAAAAAGGGAGTTGGAAACTTGAATGAATTTTTAATTAAGTAAATATTCTTCATTTGGGGGTTATAAACGTTGTACTGAGTATGTTTTTAGTGCCTGGTCTAGGAAAATTCAAGTATCCTGTCCACGATGCACTGAATTTGGGTTTTTCCCCGGTTGTTGCACTCAAGTCTGCTTTTTTGACCTCTCATTTCAAAGCCAGTGCTGTTTTTCCTCTACACCATTCTTGGTATGTTTGAATTCTGAGATTCTTCCTCTTATGGAAGCTGAGAGCAGTGAAATCAAACAGTTGGGACAGAGCCTTGAGCTTTTAGAATAACCTAAGATTTCAATTAAAACTGAGTTATACATTATTTTATTCAGTCGTGCTCAGATAACCATATGTGTTCAGTACAGCTTTCAAAAACCGTACGTTTTAGTTTAATTATATTCCCCTCAGTTCACTTGCACTAATTTTAAGGGGAGTACTATCAGTTCTTTTAGTTTGAAAGTATCACAAGTATAGAAAACAGATTATAACTGACGAATCTCTTGTTAATTAGCTTTACTCTTCGGTATTTGGGGGGCCAATATGGACTATAATATAAGTGTAGGAATAGCTAAAGTGGTGACATTTATGGACTAAAAAATCCATTTTATTTTCCCAATACTTTAATGTTTTAAATATAAAATTAAAGCACCCATTCTGTTTCCTTGATACTCAGGAACCCTGTATGTTTAAATGAATAATCATAAAGAAAGCACATTTCTTGTATCTCTTTTATATGGGAAGTCCACTGAGAACGTGATACTTTAAGGAGGAGATTTTTTTAAATGTCTCATGTTTTGCATTGATAGTACATGCATAAGTTTTGTACTTTGGAGCTTTTCAGAACTCTTTTTCTTCTGTAAGTCATAAAGATGTTTTTCTGCATTGATTTTGCTGGCTTTATGGTTTTACCTTTCACATTCTGCCCTTAAGCCACCTCTGTGTGAGTGCTAGCTGGGAACCACACTTACGTCTTCTCCATGTGTCGCGCCCATGTTGCCTGCCCACCAGTCAGGCCTTTCCCCATGGATGTGGGGCGCCGCCCCTGTGCGGTGGGTCTTGCGCAGCCTGGGTTTCTTTCCTGCAGTCTGGTCTCTCTCGTTCTGCGTGCTGGCACCACCTGGGTTTCAAGAACAAGTGCCCTTTTTTTCTTTTAATTTTTTTTTTAGTTGCTGTTTTAGCTTTTGTGAACTGTTGTTCTCTCACATGCATTTGGAATAAGTTTGAGTTTCCAAGTAATAATATAATAAAACCAAGGATGAGATTACATTTAATTTACAGATTAATTTAGGGAGAACTGAAGCCTTTTGTTTTGTTGAGGTGTGATTGACACATAACATTATATTAGCTTTAGGTGTACAGTATGGTGTGTCGACATTTGTGTAAGTCGCAGTAAGTGGTCACCACAGTAGGTCTAGTTCACATCCTTGACCATATATAATTACAGATTATTTTTCATGTGATGAGGACGTCTAAGAGCTACTCTCAGCACCTTGCAGATACGCAACCCAGTATCCTCACATCCCTGGGA